CCCCTTGGGGGGCCCCCCACCCCCCCCCCCCCCCCCCCCGGCTCTTCCTCCCCCATCTCGCCCTCTCTCTCTCTCTCTCTCTCTCTCTCTCTCTCTCCTCAGTAATGCACGTTCTATCCATCTGATCATGTACGTTATTTCTCTCTCCTCAGCTGCAATGGCAAAGCCTTCAGCACCACTTATGAGGACTGTTGTGGTGGAGTTGTCTACGACAGACGTCACCAAGACTGCTGTGATGGCTACCTCGTTATCAACAAACCCGACCAGTGCCCAAGCCTGAAGAACTACGGCTACGCCCACGATGCCTCTTATAACAGCTATAATGCTTATAACAGCTACGACGCCTCTTATAGCGGCCACAATGCTAAGGTCTATTAAGCTAAAATTCGGCTATTGACTTAGATATTGACTTTTAGAAATTTAGTCGGTGCGATAGCAGGATGAGATTCCTGTATGGAAAGCGATCAGTTTGTGATAGTTTCATAAGTTGTTCGGTGATTAAGGTATTTAATAAATGACTAGAATACTGCGAGGAGTTTTTGTTGTTTTCTCCATCGTTGTATGGATATATTTTGTTTAATTTTTGGAATACGATCTTTCCATATATATGTTTTTTTAATTAAAAATTGTTGGGGACGGAAGTGAACAAAATTCTTTTTGCAACTTAAACTTATTTGTTTGATAGGAAAAGTAATCCCCTTACTGCATATTTTGATGTGAACTTTTTGAAAACGGTATTAAGATAAAAAACGGGACACATCTTATACATTATACTCAGTAATGTTGAATAAAATTTACTTTCAATAAATTCCGATTTTGTAAAAAAAAAAAAAAAAAAAAAATTAAAAAAAAAAAAAAAAAAAAAAAAAAAAAAAAAAAAAAAAAAAAAAAAGACAACAATGTGCACTTTGCACTACATTTCGTAACACGAAAGATCACAATTCTGGTTGACAAACTTTATATACACCCGAATACAGAGTCCACTCAAACTTTGTGGCTTGCAGGGATGACAAACAAGACACTGAACGTCGAGGTTATTGAAAATTTATTTTCACACGTCATGTTTTTAAAACAATGGAAAGAAGGCACTCACTCCCACTTGTCCAAAATTACAAATGCCTCAGGGCACTAAATTCAGACACTTTACAGGCATGACTTGCATAATATGTTGACCATCTGTTAGAAATGTTAAAATCAAGGAGAACATTTTTTATAAAAGAGAAGAGAAGTTATGTAATTGTCTGCCATAATTGTACTAATGCACCGAGAAGAAGTCAACATCCAACCTCAACGGTCAACATTACTGAAATGAAAATAGCTTAACTATAACTTGTGATATGGACGAAATTTTCAATAAGTTAAATCGAATTTGGATACGGAATATTTAGAATTCAGGTAATGTTTAGATAATAAATCGCAAATAAAAAGGGTCAAGTTGAGATGGGCATTTTTTAAAAAAATTATCAAAAATCCAATCACGTCTTTAAAGTTTAATAATTGGTTACAACCGTCGCCTTTACCTTAAATTATACAGGGCATTCACCTCGCTTTATAATGGATTCTTGCCTACCGGTTAACGAGGATTCTTACCCCTAAAGATAAATATTGAACTTTTGCCTACGTAATTATGACAAGTGCAATGAACTCATATAAGCCACATGATAAATCACGTAGCCGACTACTGACCCTAGCAAAGCACATCTTCTAATGCAAGGGCGCATTTAGAACAATTTGATCCGCGTACTAACAGATCCCCGGATCAAGTATGGCTGACCCACTTACAATCTTGCCGCACTATCCCCCAATCGACACTGAAGAGATTCACTTCGGAATCAAGTGGGTCGGCCATATTTCATTCGTGGATCTATTAGTTTGCGGATCAACTTGGGTTGTGAAAGAAGCCTAAGCTGGCGAGGAATGTTAATTTGCAAGTTGTCTTCGTATACCAAATATCCTAATGTAGCGGCTTTGATATTTTGGTAGGCAGGGGACAATTTAGTTTCGAGTCAGCGAATTTTGAACGTGCTGTTAACAAATTACAATTTAATATATTTTTTTAATTATTGAATTGATGAAATAGGCAACAAAGCCAACATTTGTTAAAAATGACTTAATACCTGTGCGCGCGCGCGCGCGCGTACACGTGTGAGTGTGTGTGCGCGCAAACACAGTTGCTTATTCGAGAATGTATTTGCAAATACCCCAGTATGCATTCGGATGATTCAGTCATGTCCTAAGCAACCAAATTTAGAAACTTGTTAAGAACATACAGGTATTATTTTCTTCAACATGTTTTGTTGTCTCATCCGTTATCTAGGTCAAACTCGCCAGGAGGACATATTACCTTGAGAGTCCGTCATAAAGAGTGGTTTATTGTGTGATATAAACAATTAAAAAGTGTCAGTTGGTCTCACAGACAGATGACAGTGGGCAGGGGGGTAGGGCGGCAGCGAACACACCAAACTATGACCATTATTTCCCGACACTGATAACACATCAAGACTTGACGTCGGTCAACTTATTTAGGGTGATAGGTATCGACATTTAGAACGGTTCGAAATTGTTTCTTACATATCAAATGGTCGTTATAGATTCTCTTTAATGGGTTTCTGTATATACTTTATGATGATCATAGATAGAATCATTAATTAAGCGGGAAAGTGCTTAAAATTCAGTTTGTATGATCGATTATTCTTACTGCAAGGGTCAGAGAGTCCGATATCGGTTAAATAGGGTAGCAAAAAGTGCAGTGTGTGTGTGTGTATGTGTGTGCAAGCGCGCGCGCGTGCGCGTGAGTGAGAGAGAGAGTGATATTCTGTGTGTAAGAAAGTGAATTCTTTCACAAAAATTATCTCCGTTACTAAAAAATATCTATATTGATAATAAGACTGCATATAATCAGTATCAGGAGAAAGAGTTATGAAACTTGTTCTATCACGTATAGATATTGCGAACAGGTAATAATTCACCATTCACTTTGATAAATGCATTATTTTTTCTTTTTAGTTCTAATTAATTAACCGTAATTAATTGTGAAAAGAGGGGAACGTTAATGCACCCAATTACATATTTTACATAATTTGCTACCTTAAGAGGAAGATATTGTACTCCCCTGCAGTGTTTGCCAGGAGTAGAAATATAGACGTAAATGACAATGTTATTTTTTATCTTTAATACCAAACTTGACTTTAATTCACACGATGGGCTGCTCGTGTTATCATTACAGTCTGAACTTCAATATGAGAGTTTGTCTTCTCTGTATTCACTGAATTTTGTCGAACGCTTTTCACATAACGCTCTCTTTAACTTATGAAGAAGACAAAGAAAAGAATTGTTCCCCAAAACAAGAAAAATATAAAAATCTTGATGGTTCTCCCAGCTTAATACGATACCCATTAAATAATAACATTTCCACCTACCACGAAAGAAACTCATCACAGAAAACAACCCCCATTCATAGGCAGAGAGATATAAATTCATGCTTCTGAACAATGTTCGTTGGTTGTTACGGAGATAATGGGTCTTCTAGCGGTAATGGGAATGTCAAAGTGAATTCCTAAGACAACCGTTAGGTACGCTGTTTAAATTACAATCAACACGGAGAGTGCGTTATAAATACAGCAAGCGGAAGCAAGTTCGCCGCACTTTTACGCCGAAATATATTGTAGAACGTTGTGCGTCCTATTTGTACGCCAAGATGATGAAGTTAGTGATCCTCGCTCTCCTCGTGGCTGCTGTGGCCGCTTTTAACGTTTACCGTGATAACTACGCCTATAACTACGGTTATCAGACAGCGGGATACGCCAAGGCCCCTGAGATCACCTACAACAGAGGATACCCCAGAAACTACTTCTCTGGGTATGTGGACGGGATACCTTTTCTTTTTCTTTTATTTTCTTTCTTTCTTTCATTCTTTCTTTTTTTTTTACTGAAATATTATTTAAGAATTTGAGGTCAAAATTTCAAAAGCAATTTTATCACAACAAATCAATACTGTGTATTACTGCTCAGTTTACTTGAAAACGTTCTTTTCATCGTTTAAAATTCTTTCTCTTTGAGCACAAAATTGAGTATATCAGATATTCAAAAAGCTACCAGGATTGTTGACACTACACATTCTTCAAAAGTGCAAAACGAACAATATTCAACTTTTCACGGTGATTTCAGAAATGAAAAATGTTTTCTTGTGTAAACACCCTTTAGTCAGACAAAATAAATAATTAAATAAAAGAAAAAAACGCACTAATTCTCTTCTACTCAGTGTTTTAATTGATACAATAATACAATCATATTTCAATTAACAGCTGCAGAGGTCACGTGTACAACACACATTTCGAGGACTGTTGTGGTGGAGTAGCCGTCTATGACCGCAGGTACCAGGACTGCTGTGGCGGACGCCTGGTAGTGGACAAACCCGCCCAATGTCCAAGCCACTACGGCTACGGCAAGAAATATTAAACCGGACGTCTGTCAGTTGAACGTCACGCCTGGAGACTACACGTATCTAGCGGTAGCCTAACGTAGAGCGGCGTTGACGCGTTCCGGGCCTCCACGCGTATCATCCAAAATATTACAATGAAATAACACTGCTGCAGTTTTTAAAGACAAGCAACTGACTTTTTTATTTTTAAATTGTTATGGGTGATACTTAGGACTTCTACAAACTTTTAGTGACGTTTGAATTTTCTGAAAAAGACTTGGATTAATCTACATCACAATCAGTATTAACAGTCTATGTATTTAGTTCATGGAAATGTCTAGTATATAACGTGTGGCACATTATATCCTTCCTTCACCAAATAAAGTGCTACTGAAGAAATTGAATTGTTTCATTATTGTATGTCTATGGAACGCCGTTTGTACAAAAAAAAGATGAAAGTATCATTTTGACAGGAAAACATTTTTGCGAGGTGTTTACATCACTTTGAGATCGTCACTTTCATTATTTTGACAAGAATTTTTTTTGCAAGGTGCTAACATCATTTTGTCATTATGTCATTTTTATTATTATTATTATCATTATGTTGTACCAACTGAATACATGTACTTTCAAACAGGACCACAGAAAGATTTTTCACTAAATATTCACAGATATATCCTTGACTAAATCTGTGCATATTTCGGTATTATTATAATTTTTTGACACCGAGTTAAAGAAATGGCGCCATTGCGCAGTTGGTCTCTGGTGCAGATTGCCCATAGCACGTGTACCCTCTGATGTCAGAAATCTAAAACAGTTTACAAAATTAATTGTCACAGTCTACTAGCAGGCCCTGCGATCAGTGTATAGAACATGTATGGCGGAGCGGCTTAATGAATGCCACGATAACAACAGCCTATAAGTTTTGATAATGTATCAAGGTAGTTATAATATCTGCCGGGTATAATTCACGGTCTTAATCTTCACGTCCACAGACCTCGCGCGCGCACGCGTGAACCACCCATTATTCTTTTTTCCAGTCATAGACCCGTTTTACACGAATCTGCCATGGGTTAATTCGTTACCCTCTTACTTCATCTACCATTCTCTCTCTTCCTTTCCCTCTCCAGCCATGTTTGTACCCTCTACTAGATATTCACAGATATGTCTCTGGTTAAATTCACAACACAAATTTCTGCTGTGTCGCTTTGGAGAAAAAATCACATAATTAATCTGAAGCCCTGGTACATGATGTATGTTTTTTTTATCTTTCTGAACTTGTCACACGGGATGAAACGTCTTCATTTCTTGTTGCAGAAAATATCAGCTTTGTTCCACCATGGCGGGCGAAGGCACCTATCAATGGTCACTGGATGACGACTCCCTCAAGAAAGCCGCCAAAGAACTGAACGAAGACAGTAAACAGAGAGCCTCTCAGATCGACTCTCTGAGGACCTGGGTGAAGAAACAGCCACACCTAACTTCACGAACAGGTAACATTTAGTAGGCGGGGCAAGGGACGGCGTGGAGAGAGGTGACCTTTCTCAAATACAGTTTAGCTCCAGCCGCTTTCATATTCTTAAAAAGACAAGAAAGGTAACACCATCTCCCCTTCTTTCTGAACTTCCTGACCTCTGCCGAAGATATTGAAGATAAGGATCATGAAAACCATAAATTAGCCAAAAGAACAATGATATTTATTAGGTACAGATTGACCGACATGTATTAGACCTATCAAAAATGGACCTATTAGACCCTGGTAAAGATTCCTATCTGGTCTTCATGATGATGGTCATTGTTTATTATTATCATCACGAAAGCGGCGTTTGGAGGTATGACATTTTAAAGGGTTTGGCCTAGCTGTCTGACTTTCCAGTGAAACGGGACGATTAAGAAAGCGATCCCTTAGCAAAATGAAAAGTTTGCAGTAACGGGTTAACAGGAGCTTGCAAGAATTTTTTTATTGCTGCTAATTTGCAGCAAATTTGCCGAAAATTGGCAAGAAGGAATTGCACTTTGTAGCAAATTTGCTGCTAATTTGCAGCAGGCCTAATATTCTATAATATATTAATATTATGTGAATAGTCTTATTTTACCCCTCCGAACCATCAACTCTCACCTCGTCAGTAGAACACATACTGTCAGGATTTAGGTGTGATTTGAAACGTCATGGATTTTTTGGTACATCCGCGTCACGAAATAGCGCCAAAAAAGCGGCGCGATGAAAAATGCGTACGTCTGAAATAAATAAACTGTCGTGTTTAAGAGTCTACAAAAAATCTCTTATCCAAATCTTCTCTATGTATCCCGCTTGCTGTTTCCAATCAACATGCCTAAATGTGTACTCGGGGTCCTCAGTATCACCGCATCCAGAACAAGTTGATCCACTGACTAACTGATCCGCGGATCAAATATGGCCGATCCAATTTAAAACAATGCCGATTCATACGCCGACTGGAGGCGGGGAGGCCATCAGCGTATTAGGCGACTAGTTTTTAAGTGGGGGTCGACCATACTTGGTCCGAGGATCAGTTAGTCCGCGGATCATCTGTTCTGAATGCGACCTATGACTCTGCCATCAAAGGGTGCATTCCTAGAGATTTTAGATCGATCTATCCCCATGGGGAGTCTCACTAGATTACTGTACGCTTTGCCGGCTTAAATGTCTGTCCCGCCTACTAAAAGCTGTAAGGGGGTAATTAACTTCCGTGCGCGGTCGGGTGACTGCACTTTAGCGTGAACCCCCAGGGAGTTAGGTCGATCTAGTAAGATCGATCTAACACCCCATTCCCATAGATTAGATCGACCTACTTTAGATCGACCTAACTCCCTGGGGGTTCACGCTAAATAGCTGTCAGCCGGGCGGACACGAAAGTTAATTACCTCCTTCCAGCTTGTAGTAGGCGGGACGGAAACTTAAGGCGGATTATCTGACAGTAATCTAGTGAGACTCCCCGCGGTGATAGATCGATCTAAAGTTGTGGGAATAGACCCTAAATCTGTGGGAATGCCCTCTAAGTTACGTTGAGTTGTGTCTCAACTTCCCACTATTCCAGACGATGCGTTCCTGCTGCGTTTCCTCCGCACCAGTAAGTTCAGCATGTTAAGGGCCCAGCAGATGTTGGACAAGTTTTGTACGGTCAGGTCGTCACAGGAGAAGGGCGTCCCCCTTTGGTTCAATGATTTGGACCCCGAGGACCCCAAAATATTGGAACTCTTGGATATCGGGTAGGTTCGATTTCTCGTGACCTGCAGACATTGCTTACCATTATGGGTATTTTTAAGATATTGACAAAAATCGGTGAGCGCTCAGGGTATACGCGGTTGTGACTGATGCTATAATAGCCCAAAACCAAGGCATTTATTCAGTCTAAATGACACAAGAGCAAATTCTCAGAAGATTATATTCCAATCATTTAACTTAGTTATCTGAAGGGAAACTGACTGGTGCACCTCAAACACTTACTTTTCATTTTAAAAATAGTGTTGTTTTTTTTTAAATATTTCGTCTAGGACCTGCCTCCCACTGCCAGGGAGAGACGACCAAAATAGGAAGGTTATGCTATACAGAACTGGTAAGACTATATATATGTCCCATATCATTGTTCGAATCGTTTCATGTATATTTCTTTCTCTTTGTGCTCTCTCTTTATATTTTATTAACGTCTTTTAAATATATATTATTTTTTATAAAATGGGACGTACACTTTTGTAAAAAGTTATCTCTATTTCTATATTTCAGAACAACAAAGTTGAAACTGTATTTGGAGAGAGAGAGAGAGAGAGAGAGAGAGAGAGAGAGAGAGAGAGAGAGAGAGAGAGAGAGAGAGAAATGGGAGGGAGGGAGAAGGGAGAGAGAGAAAGAGTGTCCCAGTCCAGCTATACGATTTAATTTCAAACAAATCTTTCCAGGTGCTTTCGATCCAAAAGTCCACGACTTCTCTGACGTGATGAGACTGGGGTTCATCACCACAGACATCCTCCTGATGGACGAGCTGAACCAGATCCACGGTTTTGTCATCTTATTGGACTTCTCGGAGTTCGGTATGAGTCACGTGACCTGCTGGGGTCCAGATACTGTCTCTAAGGCAATGATGTGCTGGCAGGTAAGGTTGATCTTCTTCAAAGGGCTCATTTCCATTGAGACTATTGGTTTACGTATCTCACTGCATGCAGTTGGATTAACAGACTTAGGGCGCATTCCCTTAGATTTTAGATCGATCTATCCCCGTGGAGAGTCTCACTAGATTACTGTCAGATAATCCGGCTTAAATGTCCATCCCGCCTACTACAAGCTGTAAGGGGGTAATTAACTTTCGTGACCGCTCGGCTGACAGCTATTTAGCGTGAACCCCCAGGGAGTTAGGTCGATCTAGTTGGATCGATCTAATCTCTGGTAATGGGGTCTAACACATCTCCTCCTGGCGTTGAGTAAAATACAGAAAAGCTGGAGATTATACGAGCAAGTTAGAAACAGGAGGTCTAAGCGTGTTAATCTGTTACACTGATTGCATTCAGCAAGAGTCCTCGCAGAGTTGGAGCGATATACGTAGAGTCTAAATAACTTTTTTCAACGAACATCGCTTGGGACTCCTATGAAATGTGCGAAATATGTAAATAGAAGCAGATATGATGTGAGATTGAAGAAATTAAATGTGTCAAATGTGTTTAAATGTTTCGTAAACTTTATTAACCATTTATTAGAATTTTTAGTTGTGTGCATTTTCATTTCTTCTCACGTGTTGGTGTTTAAAGCAGTATCGGCAAGAACTCCTCTACCAACTTGATTAATTGATTTTTTTCATGCGTTTAATACTAAAATTTACTAAGAACTATATTTCCTATATATTGCTGTGACATAAAGTGTGTTATAAAATGTTATATCAATTATTCTTCTACAGGATTGCTACCCCACCAAGAACAAAGCTATGACATAAAGTGTGTTATAAAATGTTATATTAATTATTCTTCTACAGGATTGCTACTCCACCAGGAACAAAGCTATGACATAAAGTGTGTTATAAAATGTTATATCAATTATTCTTCTACAGGATTGCTACTCCACCAGGAACAAAGCTATGACATAAAGTGTGTTATAAAATGTTATATCAATTATTCTTCTACAGGATTGCTACCCCACCAGGAACAAAGCAATCAATTACTACAACACGCCGACTTTGTTCAATGTTGTCTTCGAACTGTTCAAATTGGTGATGAAAGAAAAATATAAGCAACGGGTACGTCAAGTAAACGCTTTTTAGGTGGCCTTCTTTTAATCCTCAATTTGTTTTGTCCTTTTTCCTTTTAAGAAAACGCTTTGATAACCCTGCTACAGCGTACAGTATCTGGGCTAGTTAATATATTACTAATTACAGCTGCATGGGTCATGTCTATTCCGAGTTTTGACCGCAGCATAAGTTACAGACTAATGTGTGTTGATGTATACAATTCATGTTTCAGCTTCATTTCCACTGGAGCAGCCAAGAATCGCTGCATAAACAGGTTCCTCAGCGCATGCTGCCAACGTACATGGGCGGTACGGCAGGAACGCTACAGGAGATCATACGTAATTATTTCTATAAAGAATTAATTCTTAATCTTTTAAGATAAAACACAATTTAGGTATATTTTGATGTTCAAAAGTAAGGAGTTTAAATTCCATAATATTTTGAAGACCTTGATTAGTTTTTAATTCCACAGGAATCATGTTGTGATATTAGTGTGACAACTTTCTGTTCCGTATATGAGTAAAAAGTACGGACGCCTTTAGTTCACTGTTGCACGTATGTAAACCTTGTAACTCAGCCAATCTTATAATATATTACTTTTCAGAGGATTGGAAAGTCCACGTACTCAAAAATAAAGAAGAAATCTCACGTAATGCACGTTGTGCTGTGGACGAAGAAAAACGACCCGCTCCAGAAAAAGACGGCGGCGAGGGAGGCTGGGGGATTGTTGGCTCGTTCCGAAAGCTCGCCTTGGATTAGAACCAGGGACCAGCATCGTTGCCAGGGACGCTCCAGTAACTTACACAGTAAAACTTACATAACAGGCTTTTTCAGTAGCAAGCAATGTATGATATGCACTAGAAAGGGAATTCTAAAGAACAAAGAATGAACCGTACACGTTTTATTTAGGCAAGAAAACAATCTTATTTACAACCTTTGTACGTTAACGGTTCAATGGACTGTAAGAGATCAGAGATCTGTCAGATTTGCGCGCCAAACTTATTGCAAGTCGGTCTTTTGATGAAGAAATTTTGTCAATGCCCGGTATAAAATGACCCTGGGGTTAAAGGCCGTTGCCTGTTCTGGAACTCATGCACAAATGCTACTCCTTGCCCTTTTGGCGGTGACAAGCCTAGAAATATTGGTTATTAAATAACAGCAGATTTTTTTCTATAGCAAGTGAGAAATAACACTTTATTGGACTCGTTACTTTTTAACTATCAAATATGAATCAGTACCCAAAGACTTGACTTTACTACAGTTCTTTCACGGTATATGCTTGTCAGTAACTCCTTTTATGAGGCCAGTGAGACAGGAATGGTGGTCCTAGGAATGGAAGTCCGGAGTCCTACATGATAAGTACAGGTTAGGGTTAGTCGGAGTATTGAGGTTAGTATATAGAACGAATGTCACCTATTCAAAGTAATGGAGAACGAATTGCGGTTCCTAGCGGAATGTCATCCCTGTCACACTGGGTTAATAGGTAAAACATCTGTTCATTGTGTTAGCTGTACCTTGTGGTTAGCAATACAATCACAACATAATGTCTGATTGTGTTAGCTGTACCTCGTGGCTAGCAGTACAATCACAACATAATGTCTGATTGTGTTAGATGCGCTGAAGAACACAATTGCTCACCGATCTTTTTTTTTTTACGTGAATTACCTTTAAGTTTCACATGTATACTTTTAGCGATATATCCTTATTTTTGTTAAATTTGTTCACGTTAATATTTATATCTTTGTTGGCCTTTTGCACTAATGTAAAGATTGCTGTCACTTTATGTATCGGTGCTTTCTTTAGCTGGTAGGTAATGGGATGTGGCAGCTTTGTTAAACACACCAAATTTTGATACAGATCACTTATTAAAGCACGTTATTTTAGATTTCTTGTTATTATTCAGTGTATTCCACACTACCCTTTCTTGCGTATAAGGTACTTTACATCATTTCAAAATGTAAATACTCAACTTCTGACGCCACTTGTTGCCATGAAGTCTAACAATAAAATGTGTCAGAGGATATCAACCTAATTTTTTTTTTGTTTGAATAACAGTGTGGGGTCTTGGCATGGTGGAGATGGGGGGAGGTCTGGGAATTGAAAACCATGAGAGGGCCAGCAAAATGACCATCATACATACCTGGGGGCCCGTTTAACAAAGTACTAAAGAATAACAGTTGATCTTTGACCTTGGATCAATCCACTTTGACACAAGATAAATTTTTAACTGTTCTCTTACATGTAATACTAAGCCTGGATAACAAGAGGTCAACAGTTCCTCTATGGCCACATTCAGAGCAGATGATCTGCGGACTAAGCCCTCATTCAGAACAGGGGACTAACTAGACCGAGGGTCAAATATGGCGACCCACTACAAAGCTTGCCATCTAATCTGCCAATAGCCACTGAATAGATTTCCCATGGGGAAGTTTACAAGTGGGTCGGCCATATTTGATCCTTAGACTAGTTAGTCCCTTATTCTAAATGGGGTCTAACTGATCCCCAGACTAAATATGGCTGACCCCACTTCCAAGTAAAGCTGCCTTATGCCTTCCTTGCCTCCACACAGACTACAACGCAGCTTCGAGGTGTAACTGCTAGACCCCTACAGGGATGACACGTGTGGAGGCAGGGAGACCATCAGGGGATAAGGTGGATTTGCTTTTAAGTGGTTCAGCAATATTTAAATTGCGGATCAATTTGTCCACAGATCATCTGTTGTAATTGTGGCCTACATGTATAGCTCACTACTACTGCAAGCTGACCCTGAATTGATAGAAGCTAAATGTTTGAACTAAAATTCAAACCAGCCAGAGGCCTCTCTTTTTATTGTTTTTGTGAAGCAGGCCCCAGGGACGATATCTCAGGGCACTCATAAACTTTGAACAACAACAGCAAAATATGGATTTCTTTTTTTAAAAGTTTTATGTGTTTGCTATATTAATAAATATTTAAGATAAGATCGGTATACGAACAGTTTATAAGTCTGGCAAAAATACAAAACGGAAAATGACATGAGCTACGATCCATAAAACAGAACTACACATTATCAGTGTTATGAGTCAGGCTATATTAAAAAAAATATTGAAAAAATATCGCTTTTAAATAGCCGTGAAATCTTGGTGAGGACATAATGAGCCATCCTGGTGAAAATGTCCCGTGCCATCCTGGTGAGAATGTCACGTGATGTCCCAGTGAGAATGTTGTTGTGAAAGTTTACTGTTGTACACCAAAATAAGTATCTCTGGTAAGACTGTATCACATGGGTGAACACATCCTAGTGTGTGTCCTCATAAACATGTTCTGGTGAGGATGTCTTTGTGAATGAACTTCATCACGTGGTGAATCAGATCCATCTTTTTCAATTTGCTGTCTGACTGCTCTTTGGGGTTAGAGCCCCCGAAAAAACTGTCCTTAAAGAAGCTATCACCACGCCGACTATCAACGTCATACATAAACCTGAGGAAATGAAGAAAATGTGTTGTGAGAGGCACTTGATTCCCTTAGAGGTGAACAAGAGGCAAGTCTTCATGAAAATTGACTTTCTCAATAAAATGGCTGTGCTATACAAGGCAAATGATTTCCTTTCCATAGTGAGGAATGAATTTTTACAGTTTAATTAGTAACATGGTTTGCCCCTTGTTAAATAATAGCAAAAAATTCTCTTTACTTTTACACAATGCATGATCTAAGTTTAAACTGTGGCACTTGTAAACATGATAAGAAATAAACAGCAAAGATAATGTGTTTTACCTGAAAAACAAAATCCACAAATATCTGATTGTTTTTCATGGCCTTAGCTTTACATGTTTAATAATGTAAATTCATTGAATAATCGGCTGAAGTGGATAATATAAGCAAATTGTATTTCAAAAAGAGCAAAATCACTTACCTAAAACATACTTATAGTAGTCACTTCTATATAATTCTATGAGCGTCTTGAGGTTGGCGACTTCTGTGTCTATCCTGTTTTCTAGTCTGGACAAAGTTTTTTCATTGGTGGCATGCTGCAATTAAATTTAATAAATGAATTAAATAATTAAACCCAACAAAAGTAACTAAAAGATCTAAAGATATAAATCAACCTGGTTCATGAAAAATAAACTTTAAGGTCTCTGAACTCTAAACACATGCAAAACACTGTTACCATACTGTATGTATTGCTGGTCCTTTGAGTGTTCGTCACATATGAGATTGTAATTTGAATTCACTGCAGCAAAGATCAACAGTGTGAAATATCAAAACAAAACCAACACATCACAAGAGACACTAGCAACCAAATGATAACTGATGACCTGCTTGATGTAATATACCAGCTGACATTCAGTTTTACATTCTTTTTCTTAACAAATTACTTTTCTTAAATTACTTAATCATATTTATCTCCAATAATCATAACTGTACACTTGCCTAATGAATTATTTAATTTTATATTAATTTGGTAAGAATATACATTTTTATGCATTTCAGCTAAACATGACTGTCAACGTCATATTCATTATTAATACTGACTTAACATAGATGTTCTGCTAATAATAATATTCACTATTATTATATTTTTATATTATTAATGTCAAAATCTCACAGCTTCTTGTGATCTGCTCCTCTCTAAGTTAATGTCCAGTTTAACCCCACTCTGAAGCTTGGCAAACCCATCTGACATATTGTCCTTCAGCCTGTTTAACTCCAGCGTCTTTTTCTGAAATAAACCACACCAAATCAATAAAGCCAAGTTCATAGAACAGGGGCCGATCTAGAGATATTTTCTGACTGTCTTCCAAAGTATCTTTCTTCATCCATCCTCCATTTTAGATGCCAAATTAGATGCCTGTCAATGTAAACTTGAAAGAAATGCGGACCGTCTTCCAGAAGACCCAGAAGACAGCCTCCGTTAACCCCTGCAGAACACATAATGTCAAGAGTTTATATCAAACTGAGACCTTAATTGGTACTACTTCTTATAAAAAGTGTCATTTCAATACCCTTACTCAGTGTTTAAGCTCACCTTTCACAATGACCTATGACCTCTATTACCTCTGACCTCTGACACTTACCTCATTTTCATTTTTCAATGTAGAAAACTCACTCTTCTCTAGTATCACCATGTCCTTCTTGACAGAACTTATTTCAGCCATGATTTGTTGTGTGGTTATTTCCTAAAATGAAACCAAAACACACACTAAGCTAGGGGTAAGTTTCCATACCTTTAAGAATTAAATATTAAAGAATTATCAGTAAAATTTAAGATTGGTTAAATAATTCTCCATATAATTGCCTACATTTTTTTCTTAAGAATGAATATAAGATTTACAAATCAAAGTAGTACAGTTTTTTATCATGCCCGTAGCCAGCAATTTCAAAGGGGGTTTCTTTTTCTGAAAAAGTGGACCTTTTTACATGAAACCTTTGTGTACCTAGAAAAATTTTACCAAAAAGGGACCTTTTCCCAGCAAAAAGGGTTATTCTTTCTGAACCCCCCTGGCTACGGGCCTGTTTATATATATAATCTTTCCTTGCCTTCTCTCTTCATTCATAATATAACAAGCCATTGATTTAAAGACCTGTTAAGAAAGAAGATTAACAAGTCTTTCCAATAACTCACCAGTTGTCCTTTATACACCATAGTCTTGGTTTGCTGATCAATTTGTGCATTGAGAATCTGAATAAAGGCAGAGGACAGCCCCTCCGCTTGCTGACTGGTAAAACCTGCAGGGAAGCAAATATTACAAAAGTACAAATTAAAACTAGTATTCTCTGGAAACAGCAACACTGAGTCCAATTTAACAGCTTTCTTTGACAATATTACCACTGAAAATTATTGAGAACTATTACATAGCAATAAGCAAATTCAATATTTACAACTGGTGGTTTTTAATAGAAAACCAGAACTTTCAAATTNTCTGCTTGTTGACAGGTAAAACCTAGAGAGAAGCAAATATTACAAAAGAATGAATTAAAACTAGTATCCTCTGGAAACAGCATAACTGAGTCCAATTTAACAGCTTTCTTTGACAATATTACTACTGACAATTATTGAGAACTATTACATAGCAATAAGCAAATTCAATATTTACAACTGGTGGTTTTTAATAGAAAACCAGAACTTTCAAATTTTTTAGAATAAATTTGCTAAAAAAATCCCCATTGGAAGCTAAATTGTGTAATATATCTTTTAGTGAATAGCTCTTGAATTATCAGAAATATCTTAACAGACAAACCAGATGATTCCAGATGCTTTATCAAAGCGTGCGTGTCAAAGTTGAAAGTCCTGTGGGGGGTAAGGTCTACCAATCTAGAGTTGCCACGGATTTCCTTCTCAGGCACAGAACTGGAATCACGGCGCACAGGGAGGATCTGCGGCAGACATCTTGTAGACTGACCTGTGGGAAATATTGGTCATGAAGACAGTGATGAGGACTGATGATGACCAGATGACAAGAAAGCTAGAATCATGTATGTTTATAACAAAATTAGATGAGGATATTGAAGACCTGCTTGCCTTTTTATCAAGATCTACGGTGCAAGTTTGAATAATATATTATAATAATCATTATCAATTATAATAATTAAAATAAATGAATTTTAATTAATAAAACTTACATATCACATTAAAGGCTTAAACGCCTATTTACACTGCCTCCCCCCTCTCCCCACCGTCCCATGTTTTCACAAATTTCAGACTCAAACATACACAAGTCCCTAATTTTATGGAGAAATTGCAAAGGGAAGCAATATGAAATATATGCTTGAATTGGGACCTTGGCTTTTAACCAGCATGTCATTTTTTTTTTGAGGGGGGGGGGGGGGAGTAAGGACTTTTAAATCTGTCACCCCACTCTAGTTCCCCATTAAGCTAAAGTTAGTTAATTTGAGAAAATACATGTATTATTCAATCTAAAATATATGATATGGGCCGTGAGACCGGTTACTTCATGCTGGGAATGAGCTGACGTCATTAATGGAGCAAATTACTATTTCCTTGCGTAAGGCTACCATGGCGGGGGCAAATGGGGACACTGAGAAACGTTAAAAACTATTGTTACAAAGGCAAAATGTCAAAATTACGACAACAAACCTGTACGTTGGGTCTTTGCATAGTCTCTCTGTCTTGTATGATGTGAAAGCGAAGAAAATAACCGACGTGACGGCGTTTTTCGTAAAGCGTTCTTGCAGACCGCACAAAAGCCGAAGCTGGGCGCAGCCATCTTTAAAGAGATGCGAGTGTGTACTCGCGTAAAATTTCAATTATTTTCAAATGATATTTATTTTTGTAGGGAGCAAATAAATATAAAATATATATTTTAGTTATGTTTTAAATATAAATAGCAAGCTGAAATAATCTAGATGGTGCAAATTTAGTGAAATTACTGATAAAATACTTGTCTCTGCACTTAGGTTAACATCATATTTTTACACGCGTTTGCAACATGAGGCTGCGACGTAGAGGTAAGCGGGAAGGTTAAAGGTATATTTATTCATTTCATCCCACCACAGGTACAATCAGCTCTTTCTATTCTTCTTCAAACTTTTTACCAGCTTGGGGGGGGGGGGGGGGGNGGGGGGGGGTTCTCACTAAATTGCATTCTGTGTTAGCAGCTTAATTGTCTGACACGCCTCCTTGTGTAGCTAGGCCTAAGGGATACCGGCATAATTAACTTTCGTGTGCGCTTAATTGGTGTAATTACGCCCCAAGCAGCTGCAGGAGGCGTGGCAGACATTGATAAACCATTGCACCCATTACCAACTAGTGTACTGGCAGTTGAGTAGGTAGAGCCACTTGGGCTCTGCCAAATATGTTTTGTATTTTTCTTAGAAGTAGTCGTACTATATCACTATTTATATAATTCATACTTATTTATAATTGCATTCCTATTGTATATTTTCATCTACTCATGTAGATGCATTCAATACAATGAATAAAGCATATAAGAGTCGATTACAGTGATTGCACTTATGGAGAATATCCTGCAGAGTTGTAGTACATGATGGGTTTATGTGAAGCCCCCTATAGGTACTAGTATATCAGAATGCTCTAGAGCAGGCGCTACGTATGGTCCATCATATCCTGCAGAAGCACTGGCCCGCCTGTGACTGTAGCAACCACTGAGGTGCCTGGTATATCAACCTATACAAAAATGTTCTACGCTTAAATTTTAATACTTTGTGAAAGTATAGAACATTTGTGGTCCTCTGCATCAAACCCCATGACAATTGATCAAGGCAAAGTATGTTTTGAATTTGGCACAAAAGCGATCAGTTGTCATAGATTTCTGGCTAAAATGGGAGGACACATTTGCCCTAATATCGCTATTTAAAAAAAACTGTGATATTTCCTTTAATTTTTAGAGATACATATGTAATAGCAAAATTTCAAAATTTTAACATTCTGGATAAAAAAAGACCTGTTAGAAGATAAAACTTGTGTTAAATTTATATCTGGAACATTCTAATTTTTTTTGTGATATACCTACAGGGGTTGTCTTGGTACGCCCCCTTTCCCACAAACACCAAAGCAGTCTACGTAGATCAATCCAACTCTGCAGGCACATGCTACCTCTTGTTTCCAACGAATAATCACCAGCTTTTCTGTATCCTACTCAATTCCAAGATCTTACTGTCACGTTTTCATGGGTTTCTGTCATTTCTTAGTTTTTTCTCTTTTTTTTCCTCCCCCCTCCCCCTTTTTTTACGAGTAGGTGCATTGGGGGGGGGGGGGGTGATCATGGTATGTAAAATATTCTTAGCATTCACAAAATCTTCAGTTTAAAACTGACATACAATAACAATTACAGGCCCGTAGCCAGGGGGGTTCGGGGGGTTCGAAAGAACCACCCTTTTTGCTGGGAAAAGGTCCACTCTGGGTAAAATTTGATATATGTACTTGAGGAATTTATGGTAAAAGGTCCACTTTTTCAGAAAACGAACCCCCCATCTGAAATTGCTGGCTACAGGCCTGAATTACTAAAGTCGTATTCCCAGAGCGATCAGTAGAAATCAGTTTGGCTGTGAAGTCATTAGAAAGATGTCAGACCTCTTGTGACATACAGTCTCTATAGAGTGATTTGTGTTTCTCTTTGGGTTTTAACTTAAGACGGGACCGTTTTGCATACTCTGGTTTCAGGGGTTGTCTTGGTCATGTGGATCATAGAATGAGACTTGGCTTATGAAATTGAGTATTGAGTTGAAATTCAAAAACTAAGGCTGTGGCATGATCTCACTGGGGTATTATCTTAGCTTTTCTATGTAAACTGAGAGCTGGAGAGAAAGATAAAAAGAAAGAAAGAAGGAAAGAATGAAAAATATCGATATATAAAAATAAGAAAAAAAAACTGACAGCTGGGGGGAAGATAGGAAGGGAATATGAAGAAGGAAAGAAAGAATGAAATTTGATATAAAAATATTGGTTGTAAGAAGAAAAAGAAAGAAAAGAAAAAATAAGTTTTAGACAGAAAGAAGGATGGAAGGATGAAAAAAGAAAAGACGAAAAGGCTGTTTGCATACTCTGGTTTGCATACTACTACTTAGACCAAAAAAAAAAAAAAAAAAAGAAAAGAAAAGACAACAAGTAAAGAAAAGGATGGAAGAAAAGAAAAAAGATTTAAAGAAAGACAGAAATCAGCAATTAAAATAAATAAAATGCCCAGATACTTCATTATTGAATTAGTCTTAAAGCAGTTATAATTAAATCTCTGTTGAAATCAGATTGTATTCGTCTGTTTTTAGGCTCCAGGGTCACTTAAGTTCAGCATATTTCGCCTTGTTAAATCCATTCAGCTACCTCTAAATCAAGCCAAGCTGATGTATATATTACTCTTAAACAAATAGAAAACCAGAAGACAGTCGCAATCTGCCCTTGCAATAACATATAATGGCCCAATCATGCTGATTTTCGAACTTGACCTGCGTTTTATGAATATTCATCAGCTCTGTAAATATAAAGCCAAAAAGTAAAACTGCCCTCCACTTATCGTATTTACAAGGAAAGTGCACGGCGCCGGCGACGGCATCGGCGACGACAGACGCAGGTGATGGCAATATGTACAGACATATCTGTGTCTGTACATAAAAAGACAAGAAGAGTTGAATATTGAGCCAATTTCTCTGTCCCTGTGGAGAGCACTGCCTGCCAGGGAGTATATCTCATTTAACTGAATTAATAGGACTGTTAAGGACCATTCAGATCGAGAAGAGCCCAGTGCTAGCAAGGCCGCGACCTAAATATGGTGTGCCTACATGAAAGGAAGACCACTTAATCCTGTAATGGTGTCTCCGCCTCTCACACACCTCCCTACTTGTCAGATCTTGATCGGTTAATTTGAACTGAGATTTAATTACTGTGCCCCTGCAGGGACGATGCGTGGGGAGGTGTGTGAGAGGCAGAGACACCATTACAGGATTAGGCAGTCTTCCTTTCATGTAGGTCCACCGTATTTAGGTCGCAGCCTTGTTAACACTCGGCTCTTCTCGATCAGAATGGTCCCTTAGGCTGCTAGTAGAGTTCAGGTTTAGCGTAAGGGTGGTTCAACCCCCTTGAAGCATGAAGACGAGGAGGGAAGAAGAAGAGATATAAATTAAAACAGTTGATTTGGATTAAAGTTACTTTAGTAGTAATACTGTTTTGTAGTTCTTTATCACTGTAACTGAAGTGAATAGTTTAATGAATAAATGATAGGTCTAAAGACGCAATTTAATACAGAAAAAGAAAAGAAAAAAGTTTCCGGGTAGAAACTAGACATACCACCGCATGCTTTGACATAATAATATTGTGAAGTGATCAGTGCAGTGGGTGTTGTTTATCATGTGGACGTGTTTTTATTGAAGAACCACCCTCTGGGGAACTGTTATTTTTGTCTCCGTGGACTTATGAATACACATGCCTTCTTGATATTCCAATAGAAATTAACTCTGCTTGACGAAAGATGAAAAAACTGGCTAAGAGTGCTCAGGAATCAGAGCTTTTTCTTTTTCTTTTCTTTTCTTTTTTTGAACATTCACTGTTATTCTGATAAGAACTGAGTGACCATGTTTTTGATAAAAACAAAACAAAACAAAAAAATTAATGGAGCGAAAAGTTTATGCCTCAGCGAAATTGGTTTTCTTAGAATTGTCATATCTTTGCAGATGAGTTCGATGTTCATTCCCAGCATTTATTTCAAGTCCAGAAGAAGGTAAAGTTGATGTTAATTAAGTCAAACTTTCGCACATTTATTTGCTTTTTGTGTGGTATCTGTTATTATTCACTTGAAAAGCTCTTGCTCATCACTTGTGAAAATGTCCGTTGTCTCTCATTCTGTCTGTGTGTCACCTTCCTGTATGTACCCTGTAACAGGCTGCTTGAATGATAATTGCCATTTTCTAGCACCAACCTTAGATTTATTCAAATAATCTTCCATCTGGGACTGTGGCTGTATATATTAACCCCTACAGCAGCAGCTGCATTGTTGACAATCTCTGGCTCATACAGAACATACCTAATGTGTAGAAAAGCAGATAAAGGGTTTGTTTAATGAAACGGTGTGCTTGTGGCAAGTAATTTTACATTGGGATTGTTAATTCTTAGCTGGAGTCGTTAATTTGAGCATTTGAGCTCACAAATCTGAGGTTGGAATTAAAAAATGCCTAATCCGTAAGAGTTTAAAGCCTGCTGTAATGTACCAAGTTGCTTGAGAGTAGAGTGAGCTAAAACTAAGGAATTCTGAAGGCGGAATAACTCCCCATTGGGTGTGTAATATATATATGTTATTTTACTGTACTTGTAATTTAGCAAAAGTGATGCTGTTTAGTTTTGGTATGGGACCATTCCCAGACCCTATCGTACTAGCTGTGGATTGATCTATCTCCAAGGGGATTCTCGCTAAATTGCCATCAACTTAAGCAGCTTTGATGTCTGTAATGCCTACTGAAGCTGCTAGGGGGTAATTAATTATCATTTAGCAGCTTCAGTAGGCGTGACAGACATTTAAGCTTCTTAAGTTGATTGTAATTTAGCAAGAAACCCCTTAGAGATGGATTGATCCTGTTAGATTGATCTGATTATGGGAACCCAGTCTATCTTTGTGGTAAGGCCACACTTTTTTATTTTTATGGATGACATCCTGCGCGCGCACCGATTTTTGCCCGTTCTCCAAAAAAAAAAAAAAAATCCCCCCCCCCCCCAGCCCCCAACAAAGTCGGTTGTCGCAATCTTCGTTATTGAATTTGCCAGGAAATGAGCTTTCTGCGTATGCGTATTATCGCCACG